CCAACAGCCACTTAGCTCCAAAGTCAGTGCAGAAGGGGGGCAATACTGCAACACCTCTAAAATAACACAGATCCCTCTGCAACTACCTTTGGGACAATGGAATCTCCCATAAAATCTGTACAGTACAGGACAGAAACACAAACCAGATTTCATAGTCCATTATGCATTTTTCATGTCTGTGAAATTGATAGGGCCCTTGCCATAGGACAGGAAGAGCAGAAAGGTCAAACACTGTAGAAAAAAGAAAAATGACCAGAATTAGCCCTTAAGAACATAGTGGGCCACGTGGTAAGAGAGGGAGATAAGCTAGTGAAGGAAGAGTGAAAAAGGATATATGAAGACAATGAAAGGGAGGGAGCAGGTGAAAGGACTGGAAAAAGAATGAGAAAAGTGAAGAATAAAGGATGAGGAAAGGAAAACCTAGAGAAAGAGGAATGGAAAAAAGATGTTCAGGAAATAAGTGATAGCCAGATTGGCCTGGTGAAAGCACATAACAGTTGTGTGTCCTGGACTTGAGAATTAAGAGAATCTTTATTTCTGGAGACTTTGGCTACATGGGAATATAGCATGCAGTAGCAATGTCTTCTGCTGGCTAGATCACTCAAGAACCCCCTTGTCTTTTATAGGAAGGCCTGCCTCTATAGTTTCAGTTGGAGAAAAGGTCACAAAATGGCAGATATGTGAAAGACCATTAAGAAGGAAAATAGACTTAATAGGAAGAGGAGCTAGAAAGTTATCAGTAACAGGCTTGTGATTGAGGCTAAATATGGTTGAGACACAATTCATTATATGACTAATCATTCATGTGTGCAGATTGAACCATCATATTAAAAACTGACAGTGAAATTAGTTCAGGTGGCAAAGTAGAATGGTAGCTTTTCAATTTATGGTAATTTGGATTCAAAGCCCATATTCATTCCTGCAACAAACCTATGTCCTTTTATATATTTTATCTGGACAATCAGATGGACCACATTAGTGATCCTTGTCTTGTAAAGGTATTTGGAGAAGAACTGAAGTATCTGGGAAATTCAGTAATCAGATTTCATGGAATACAATCAAAGTAGTAACAATTATAGGGTATTTTCTGCTATTTCTCAGAAGCTGGGAAAACTTAGGAAATCTTTTCTGTGTCCTATCAAGGACACTAAACTATTTTACATTCTGTAATTGGCTCAGAAAAGAGGAAGATGAAAGTCTTGTTTACAGTGAGCAGAGTTTATACCTAATTGTCATGCATTCTCATATTCAGTTAATATATAACTTAATCGTAACTCACACCACTTTGTCAGGTGTTCCTCTTATACCAAACAAATGCAAGAAATCATCACTTCAGCATTCATTTCTGCAGTGACTTATACAGGCAGTCTCGGGGTTATGTACAAGATAGGGACTGTAGGTTTGTTCTTAAGTTGAATCTGTATGTAAGTCGGAACTGGCGTCAGCCGCTGC